TGTGCCCGGCCGCCCTGTGGAGAAAGCTCATGTAGACCGCCTGTATCCGGGATCTCGCCCTTTCGGTCATGACCCAAACTTGTTGTGGTTTCATTCAGGATTAATTGGCCTCAATTAATTGATTAACCCATTTATTTAATTACTATTGTAACTTCTTTTTTCTGTATAAATCTATATGTTTATATTTAATTAAATTTGTGGTTAAAAACTAATATAATTAGCTAAATGAGCCATGTGTAATTAATTGAAGGGTATTAGAATTAGAATTTCAAATTCTTAGATCATAAAGAACCATGAAATCTCTGTGACTTCACTGACAGCTGCAGCTCTGATTTGTCCACTAAACATCCAGACTGGTGTGTCCTGTGTTTTGTGTGTGTGTGTGCACGTACGCATACAGGTACAGGTGATGTTGTTGCCATCATGATCCCAGAGCCTAAAGGTCGTGAGATTGTGGCCTTGCTGGAGCAGCACATCGTGGTCACGTTGCACATCACAATAGGAACCCGCAACCTGCAGAAGTACGTGAGCAGAACCTCAGTAGTGTTCGTCTCCATCTCCTTCATCGTTCTCATGATCATCTCTCTCGCCTGGCTCGTCTTCTACTACATCCAGAGGTTCCGCTACGCAAATGCACGAGACCGCAACCAGGTATGACTGTGAGCTCTTGATCTAATCAAAGTATTGCTGTCTAAAAGGGAACTGGCAGCGCTGTTGCTGTTATGACAGGAGTCGGTGCCATGACAGTCGTTGTTTGCTTTTTTATTTTGAATTATTTTGTACAAAGAATTCACTCATACTGAACAAATATGCTTTCAGTTTACTTCCAAGGCAGTTTGATAAGAATAAATAGACTTTGAACAGTTAAAGCATGAGACTGTCCTCTGACTGATGTCATAAATCTGTCACCATCTTCCTAGCTTATCTGTTCTCTTCTAGCTTTACTTGGATTTTATCCCTTAATTTTATTTTTTGGCAAGAAAATGTGGTCTGAATATGGTGGGTCATATCCATGACAGTCTCAAGATTGCTCCTGAAACACATTCCACATGCACAAATATTTCCTGTATTCACACATTTATCCAGCTGTTTGCCATATCCGCTATATTACAGCATCCGTTTGTTAGTTTCCATGAAATCAGTATCTCCAAAAACATTTTTAGGCACATTTTGTCTCATTGTTGGCTAGCAGCATTCACCAATCCAAGAGCTGATAGATGGATGCTTTGTCTAATGACCCAATGTCTTATTATTGTTAAGTCACACTGGAACATTTCAGTGTACAAATTGCCTCTTGGATCCATTTTAAGGTGTTTGATGATTTCCTATTATTTTGGTTTACTGGTTTTTGGAACTGCAGCTCAGTCCATTTAAATTACAAGTTCAGTGTTGAAACCTTCACTACTAACTGCAAAAGAATGTTTTTTTTTTTTCTATCTTACAGAGACGTCTTGGAGATGCTGCCAAAAAGGCAATCAGTAAGCTTCAAGTACGCACCATTAAGAAAGGAGACAAGGTATTTGATGTTCTCTATACAGCAAACTGTATATTTCACATAAACCTCAAAGCATATTGGTCTAAACAATGAGTTCAGAGCACACATGCATTTACAAACGTGTTTACCCTGTGGAGAATGTTGATGAATTATAGGGGCTTCTTTTATTTGGTGTATAGGTGCAATATATTTTAGAATTCATTGCCTTGCATTTGTTCTGTGTTTTAGGAGACAGAGTCCGACTTTGACAACTGTGCAGTTTGCATTGAAGGTTATAAACCTAATGATGTTGTTAGGCTATTACCATGCAGGTAAGGTTTGTTTTGTTTATCCATATAATTGTTATTACTTAAGGGAATAAAGAAAGAACATGGACCCTAACTAGTGGTGTTTGTATATTCTGTATAAAACTCTGTTTATTTACTTGGTCAGGCATGTCTTCCATAAGCACTGTGTAGACCCGTGGCTACAAGACCACCGGACATGTCCCATGTGTAAAATGAACATCCTCAAAGCTTTAGGGATCCCAGTAAGTTCCTATTAACCTCTTTGGGTTGTTTTTGCCTATTCCTACACACATATTTTTAAAAGATAATTATATAGAACTAACTGCTCTCATTGCTCATATTAAGGCTAATCTAATCCCGACATAGTATTCATGAGAATTCCTCTAAAAAACGTCTTTGGCATGTTCCAGTTCTGCTCAGATGAGATTCCTCCAGACTACGACACGTCTGTCGGAGGTCCACCTACCAACCCCATCAGCGGGGCGAGTGAAATCACGCTTAATGAGAGCTCTGTGGTCTTGGATCCAGCTGGAAGAGTGATAGGCCTGCAGCAGCTCCATCCTGACCTAGAGACGGTACCTCAGGCAGGAGAGAGCCATGTCATCTCCAGCAGTGAGTGCAGGCATCACACTGACAGCCACCTGGAAAGTAACTAAGCACATGTATTCAAGTACTGTACTTAAGAGGGCCTTGTGACCCTCTGGGGGAGCCTGAGCCCAAAGTTCGGAAACAACCGTATGTACAGTAGATAAACTATCTTCACCTTGACAGTGAACTGATATGTACACACTCCTGCATCAGTCAACGTGGTTATTTTTGAGGCTGTAGCTTGTGTTGCTGTTTATTTGTACTGCAGTATAGAGAGAGGCGTTTCCGTTATCGACCACACAGTTGAGCCAGCACTTTTTTTCATCAAACATTATCACCTTCATGACGGGAGGATTTATTGTTGTGTTAGACTGCATTCGTTTTAACTAGGTGTACCAAACAAACTGCCAACCAAATTTTATATCTTATTTATTAGTTTTATTGTTACGCTTTCCCAAAAATATTATTTTTTTTTATAAAGTATACCAGTGGTAGTACTAGTACTATGGTTCAGATTTTTCAAATAATAGTTTAAATGCTGTTTTAACCCTGTGCTGCTGTGGAAATGTACTGCATTATAGAGAGCAGTGTTTCATACTCGGCCTCATTGAAAATAGAAGAAAATAGAAACCCCTCCCAAAAAGAAGTTTCAGTTTCATGTGAATATTTTGCACCGTACAGCTTCTAGAGCACAGGAAGAGATTCATATTTTATGTGTGGGGGCTACTTGGAGGCAAAAAATATTTATATATTCATATTTATTCAACAAATATTGAACATTAAAAACTGACAAAAATATATGGTCGTGCTTTCCAGTTACCCTTAAAAGGACTCTTCTCCAAGGCACTTGGAAACTGCTAACACAAAGAGTCGTTTACTTTTTTGTGCTTGACAAGCTCGCCACCAATTAGAGGTAATTTGTCATAGCTGGCAGCACTAATGAGCTAACTGAGACTATATCACTGACACGCAGTTAGCATAAGATGAACAAGCAGAACTGTCAGGATTTCTGCTGCCGAGGCTCGACAGTGGCGGTGTGCTGATCATGCCTGAATTATGAGTACTGTCGTTAACAGTATAGCTACCACTCTTTCGAGATTCAGCCTGTTACTGGGTGCATGTCATAGTGAGGGTCCCAGAAAAAGACTGGTTGTTGCTGCTGGAATCCAGGACTCACTGTTCTTTTTTTAATTTTTAATACAATGCTCATAAGTCCGTACACCGTGAAAGAATTGTTCACTGTGATTATTCTTCTACTGAGAAAAGAGCCCTTCTTAGACAGAAAGATTAGGAACAAAAGTCTGAATTTCACTTAAAAATAATGTTGAGTCGAAGCTACAGTAAAGTCTAAAGGCGTCAGGATAATCAAAATAAACTAGCTCATATGATGCGCTGACATCTGAAGGTAAAGGCATTCGCAGAACCAAGCAGCCACACTCAAAGGTGGGGTAAAAAGCCTGCTGTCGCAAGTCACACAAAAGCCTCTAATCTATAAACAAAAATCCAAATTAATAACCAAAAGCCATTGTTTGAAAAATGAAACAAAAGCTCGAGGACGGTTTTTGCCTATTTTCTCACTTCCGCACACCTGACAAGCACTTTGGCTGATGATCAGGCGGATAATGACAAAAGTCACAGTTTACAGAGGCCAAAATCCTTTGTTTTGTTTTATCCAGATTTAGTTAACAACCAACACAAGAAGGGAATTAATTAGCTTCAGATGAACTGATCAATGTTGACAATGGGACTGATCGCAGCAACCGGCAACTGTCTTTTCTTGCACAAATAATCATTGACTGTTGAGTATTTTATCAAGATAGACTGGAAAAATTAACCCAATGAATTAAACCTTCCTCACATGACTTGACTGACTCTTTCTCTTCCTGTCAAATAACACATTACCTCCCTCTGTCCCCCATCAGGTGAGCACCAGCTTCCACTCAGCAGTGATTCAGACACTTCCATCATCACGGGCATGGAGGTAGGC